ATCCATACTAGCTGCGTTTCTGAATCACAATATCAGACTATCTCATCCGTTTAGGCGACTTTCATAAACGAGTATCAATAAACAAAAAATAGCAAGTAAGAGTCCAGTATTTGGTGACCATGCTGAGAAAGTTGTTACTTGCACTGTGTCTAGTCGGCCCTTTGGGTGCCTTTTCTAGTAACAGCGACTTTTCAGCCCTTATCAAAGGAGACTGGCAGCAATTGCAAGATAATATGCTAGACCAACTGGCGACCAACGCCATCGGGGATTCTGTCCCTGACAAAGACGATAAATGTCCGCCATGCTTCAACTGTAATCTCCCCAATTTTGAGTGCAAACAGTTTTCCAAATGCAATCCATTCTCAGGAAGGTGTGAGTGTCTGGAAGGATTTGGTGGTGACGACTGTTCTGTTCCCCTTTGCGGGGCTCTGACGGACGGGTCTAACCGTCCTAAAAGAGAGGTCAATGAGACATGTCATTGCGAGGAAGGGTGGGGAGGTATCAATTGTAATTTGTGTCAGATAGATTCGGTCTGTGATGCCTTTGTTCCAGGAGGACTAAAAGGCACGTGCTATCATTCGGGTATCCTAGTCAATCGGAATTTTCAGATGTGTGATGTTACCAACTCCAAGATTTTGGAGATACTCAACGGAAAAAAGCCCCAGGTGACGTTCAGTTGCAACAAGACGGCTGAAAAATGCAACTTCCAGTTCTGGATTGCTGAAGAAGAGAGTTTCTACTGTGATTTGTCTAAATGCAAATTCAACTATGATCTTGGCGCAAATACAACACATTACAACTGCGAGGACGTTGCTTGTAAATGCCTCCCTGGAAAAATGCTCTGTGGCCAGGCAGGATCGATTGATATTTCGGATTTCCTTACGGAAACCATTGCTGGCCCTGCAGACTTCTCCTGTGACGTTGCGGACAAAGACTGCAAGTTCTCAGAGCCTAGCATGAACGATCTGATTACTAATGTTTTTGGAGATCCGTATATCACGCTCAATTGCGAGTCCGGTGAGTGTCTACACGAAAGCGAGATCCCAGGTTCTGATCAGCCGGGAAAACCCAAATTTGGCGTGATCGACGTTTTGAGAATTATTGGAACCATTTTGGGCTGCACAGCTATCATTGGACTAGGTTTCTATGGGATAAAACGATCGCCACTATTTATGGACGAAGGCACCCTGCAGCTTCCTCCAGATGACAATCCAGATCTACAAGACTCTCTGCTCGATGATTACAAGCCTGCCATATTTTCTTTCGAAAACGTTAGCTACACAGTGGCGGGAAAAAAGGTGTTGAACAATGCTTTTGGGCTCGTTGAGCCTGGAGAATGTATGGCTATCATGGGAGGATCAGGCGCTGGAAAGACAACGTTATTAGACATCATTGCCGGTAAAAATAAGGGAGGAGAAGCTTCAGGTACGTTTTATGTCAATGGCGAGCGCATTACAACCAAACAAGACCTTGTGCATTTCCAGAAATCTGTTGGATTTGTCAACCAGGAAGACTTCCTCATCCCGACTTTATCCGTCTATGAGACTGTTTTGAACAGTGCTCTTTTGCGTTTGCCGAAAAACATGTCGATGGCCACCAAAAAAGCAAAGGTAAACCAAATTCTCGCTGAACTGCGTATTTTTCACATTAGAGATAAGCTTATCGGCTCGGATTTTGAACGTGGTATTTCTGGTGGAGAAAAAAGAAGAGTGGCCATCGCCTGTGAACTCGTGACGTCTCCGTCAATTTTGTTTTTAGACGAGCCCACGTCAGGGCTTGATGGGTACAATGCGTTTAACGTGGTTGAATGCTTGGTCAGACTGGCCAAGGACTACAACAGAACAGTGATTTTCACAATTCATCAGCCAAGAAGCAACATTGTGGCTCTTTTCGATAAGCTCATGCTGCTGTCTGAGGGACAGCTAGTGTATTCCGGCCTTATGAGCGACTGCAGCAACTTTTTCGCTGACAACGGGTACATTTGCCCTGCTGGCTACAACATTGCAGATTATCTTATCGATATCACCTCTGGAGGTAGCCCTATCGCTGTCGTTTCACCCGTTGATGGCGAAAATCATGACCATGATATACACGCCTTGCTTCCTGCCAATGATGTGGATGACCCGACTGGTGAATGGCAGCATTACGCTTCTCATCGCGACGAGTTTGGCAATAGAATTAAAAGTGCAGGTGCAACGTCCAAAGCTTCAAGTGCGGCTGTTGCTTCTATATTTGAGCAATCGTTGAACGCCGAGAGATTGCACTTGGAAATCAAAGAGCTTGCCGAAAAGTTCAACAACGCGCAGCAAGATAATAATTCTGCAGGCTCGTTTTTCAAGTCCCAAGGGGGCAAGACCAGAGCCGGCTTCTGGACACAACTTACTATTCTGTGCTCCAGAACGTTCAAAAATTCGTACAGAAACCCGAAGCTTTTGATGTCGCACTATGCTCTGGCTCTTATCATGGGACTCTTTTGCTCTTATCTCTACTATGATGTTGAAAACAACATCAGCGGCTTCCAGAACAGGCTTGGACTATTTTTCTTCTTGCTGACTCTATTCGGCTTTTCAACACTTACAGGGCTACATTCGTTTTCTGTGGAGCGGCTGGTGTTTGTGAGAGAGCGCTCAAACAATTATTATCATCCGCTTAGCTATTATGTTAGCAAATTATTGTGCGACGTGATCCCGCTCAGACTATTCCCTCCTGTTATACTGATGGCCATCATATATCCTTTAGTGGGCCTAAACATGGAAGGAAACAAGTTTTGGCTTTCAATGCTGATTCTTGTCCTCTTTAACTTGGCTGCGTCGCTCGAGATCCTAATTATTGGAATCCTTGTCAAAGAGCCAGGTTCTGCTACCATGGTGGGTGTTCTTGTTCTGCTCTTCTCACTGCTTTTTGCGGGTCTGTTTATCAATAAGGACACAATTCCAGTCCAGATAGCGTGGTTTGAAAACATCTCTGTGTTCCATTATGGTTACGAGGCTTTGGCGGTCAATGAGGTGAACGGGTTGGTGCTGAAGGAGAAGAAATACGGGCTAGACATCAATGTTCCCGGCGCTGTAATTTTGAGCACATTTGGATTCGATGTCGGGGCTGTTGGATTCGATATCTGCTGGCTGGCCGGGATGTTTGGTGCATTTGTTGTTTTAGGATATCTTGGATTGCATTATTTTGTCTACGAGACCAGATGATGTAATTAAAAAAATAGAGGTAAATAAATATTTTATTCAACTAAGCCTCGGTGACTTACTTGTTCTTTAGAATGGTTCGATCGCCGTTTGACGTCTCAGACGATGAGGATGATCCGTTCAGTGACAGAAACTATTCGCGGCTGGTTAATCGCACTGAAGAAGTCAAAAACGTCCCTGACCTTGGGCGTTCCAGCCACGCTCCTTCCAAAACTTATTCCCCTGTCTTCAACGTGAATGAGATGGCCAAGGAGCCTGCTTACAATTCTAGAACAAACGCAATTCCAGAAAGACGGCAACGTGGTGCGCTATACATGACGCTGTTTGGAGGCCGTGAACGAGGATGGCCTTACTTCACGTACTTTGTCAGCCTCATTCAGATAGCGGTGTTCATCTACGAGCTGGTGAAAATGGGGATTTACACGAAAACCGTGTTCCAAACCAAACCATACTTCAATCCCATGCTTGGACCCTCATCATACGTGCAAATTAACGTGGGAGCCAGATATCTGCCATGCATGACAGTGATTAAGGGCTACACTGATAACCCGCAGATAGAGTGGCCATGCCCCAACTCCACGTCCACGTCTACCGACGTCTGCAGTCTGGACGAACTGTGTGGCATGGGCGTTGGTTTCTCTGACGGCACGCCGCGCCAGTGGTGGAGATTGTTCACCTCTATCTTCATCCATGCTGGATTCATACACATTATCTTCAACCTTCTGCTACAGGTCGCGCTTGGATCTAAGGTTGAACGCTACATTGGACTACTCAGATTTGCATTTATCTACGTTGCTGCGGGCATGGGAGGCTCCATTTTGGGGGCCAATTTTTTGCCTGCTGGAATGGCTTCATCTGGAGCCTCAGGAGCGCTGTGTGGCGCATGTATCGCAATGAACCTCATTCTTCTCATCTACAACAACAACATCGACCACTACGATCCTCGTCTAAAAGGCCGGGGTAGCAGAAAGCTCTTTGTCACAATGCTGATCGGCTCCGTGGTCGAAGTGATTGTCATATTTGTGCTGGGATTACTGCCAGGGATAGACAACTTTGCCCACATTGGCGGGTTTGTCATCGGGATCGCGCTGGGGACTGTCCTTTTGGACAGCCCATCTTTTGTTTACGAGGACGACGGGCAGACTCGCAAGCCAGTTGTTTTTTTCACTTGGATATTTGTCCGAGTTGCCTGTCTAGCTTTGACAATAGCGTATTTTGCACTACTATCGAAGAACTTTGCAGATAAAGGTGCAGAGGCGTCGGATAGTTGCAAATGGTGCAAATACATCAACTGTCTTCCGGTCAACGGGTGGTGCGAACTAGGCGACTTGTCTGCTACGTCGTCATGAATTTTTCAGGCTTATTTTCGCATTTTGTAAGAAAATATATTTTTTCGATTTATCTACACCAGTTATCAAGATGGCGCTTCAGTATCTTCAATCTTTGGAGGAGAACATTATCAGTCCTCCGTCAAGCAGCACGCCTGTTTACAAAGACGACTGTATGTTCTCCTTTGAGACTCCGCTCGACAAGACGGGTCTTGATATCTGTATGCATTGTTTTCAGGCGTTTTCGAGAGACGGACATGATTACACACGCCAGCACGCACAATTCTTCAACCATTCGATCTATTTGAACTATAAAAAGGCTCCAAAGAAGCAGACAGAACGGGACTCGGAACAGCCTTTGAAGATGGTCAAACTGGAGATCAAAGAGCAAACAGATGACGAGCTATTTGAAACCAAGACGCAGATCTATTGCGCCGAAATTGACCAGTCTGTGGATTACCCCAGTGAAGAAATCCCTGCCCATATTGCCAACTGTGCAGCAGCCATTTTAAAAGCGACCTCTAGCGATAAAAAGCAAGAAATCAAGGCCTGGGAGCAGGAAATTGTCCCCTGTCCACACGCTTTCGACATCGAACAAAGCCCACTTGCAGAACTCGATACGAGCCAGTGCGCTCAGTGTGGATTGAAGGAAAATCTATGGATTTGTGTCACGTGTGGGTCTATCGGGTGTGGTCGGGCGCAATTCGGCGGCGTTGCTGGAAACTCCCACGCATTGAAGCATCATGAATCCTTTCCAGATCACCACATTGCGGTCAAACTTGGGTCTTTATCGCTAAACTCTGCCGATTCGTATTGCTACACTTGCAATGATGAGGTCAAAGTACCGGACCTTGTCAGGCTTCTTGCTACTTTTGGCATCGACATTTCTCAGACCGTCAAGACAGAAAAAACACTTACAGAGCTACAACTTGAGCAGAATATCAAATGGGATTTCAACATGTCCAACGAGAGTGGAGATGTGCTTACTCCTGTGTTTGGAAAAGGTCTCACAGGTATCAAGAATTTGGGGAACTCTTGTTATCTCTCGTCTGTATTGCAAGTGCTATTTTCCGTTCGTGACTTTTCGTCAGCCTTTTATATAGAGGAGGGAATGCCCGTGGAAAAGATTCTCAATCCGGGTGATCCATCCAGGGACTTGGAAACTCAGCTATTCAAACTAGGAGACGGGCTGCTCTCAGGCAGATACTCGATCCCGGATGAGCTGACGACTGAAAAGGTCAAGTTTCAGCGAGGAATCAAGCCACAGGGGTTCAAGACGCTGATTGGTGAAGGCCATATGGAATTCTGCACCATGCAACAACAGGATGCGTTTGAGTTCCTGCTTTATTTATTGGACAAAATCGAAGACCAGAAATTGAACGGAGTCTCTTCCACAAGTCCTACTCAGGCATTTGATTTTGTCTTAGAGAACAAGATTAAATGTCATGGATGTGGCGGCGTGAGACTCGCCAAGGAGCTTACCAACAACATTCGTTTGCCTGTACAGGACAAGGTTTTACGTGTTGGTGATGACGGGAAGAAGGTGTATAGTGAAGTGCGCTTGGAAGACTGTCTTTTGGAACTTGGCACATCCGAAACGATTGAGTACCAGTGTCCAAGGTGCCAAAAATTACAGTCGGGCTCCAAAAAGCAAGGACTCACCTCGTTTCCCAAATATCTGATTTTGTCTCCTCAAAGAATAAAACTGGAGAACTGGGTGCCTATCAAATTAGATGTCCCTATCAAGTTTGAGGAGGTTATAGACCTCTCAAAATATAAATCAACTGGCCTTCAAACAGACGAAGAACTGCTTCCCGAAGATGAGGTTTCCTCCTCGTATTCCTTCAACCAGGACGCAATGAATGCTCTGTTGGCCATGGGCTTCCCTGAGAACAGGTGCAAGAGAGCTCTTTATACCACAGGAAACAGAGATGCAGACACAGCAATGAACTGGTTGTTTGAACACATGGAGGATCCAGACATCGACGATCCTTTCGAGCCTGCTCCAGCACCCGGTCCAAAGGTTTCGGAGCAAGAGGTGGAATCGCTCACGTCCATGGGATTCGACGCAAAACTGGCAAAGAAAGCCTTGTTGTTGAGCAAAGGCAACATCGAACAGGCTGTTGAGTGGCTTTTTGCCAATCCCGACGACGATGGTGATATCAGTCAGGACGTTGCTAGTTCGCCACAGGAACGAATTAAACAAATGGAGTCCAGTGCTTCACATAGCACAAAGTATATTCTAAAAGGTATCATCTGTCACAAGGGAGTCACGATTCACTCTGGCCACTATGTTGCCTTTTTGAAGAAACAAATAGAAGGTCAGGAAAACTGGGTGCTATTTAATGACGAAAAGGTTGTTCTTGCCAATGAGGAGAGCATCAAGGAGATAGAGAAAACGGGTTACATCTACGTGTTTGAGAACTCGGAACTTTGAACACGCGCGATTTGGAAGGTGACATTGAACTTCAAGCAAGTTTGTGCATGGGTAGCATTTCTCTATTTAATAATCAATGTATAGCATAAGCAAAAACTCGTCGATACATTGCAATGAAGACGTTATTTCTTGAGCTCCTTCAGTTTGACTTCTAGTTTCGCAACCTTGGTCTTCAGCTCTACATTCTGTTTTCTCAAAAGTCCAATCTCAATATCCTTCTCCTTTGATTTGCCGTAGCTCAGCATCTTGGCCATTTCCTCGTTCTCCTCGGTCAGCATCTGCATCTTGGTAATGATCTTGTGTGCAATCTCCTCCTCGTCGTACCTCCCAGTCTTGGTGATCGACTGGTTTGGGTTCAATGCAACAGCAGTCAAAACGACTTCCAGTCTAAGCTTCGTTTCCTCCAGCTCCTCTTGGGCAGCTTGGAGCTTCTCTGTGAGCTTTGTATATAACTGTTCGTGATTTTTCGGTATTTCGAATGTTTTCCTATTGTCATCACTATCGGAGACCCTCAGAATTGAGTTCAATCTCGCAACCTCCTCTTCCAGCTTTTTAATGATAGAATCCTTTAGCTCAAGCTGAATTTTGTGATCTTCGATCTCCGCAACAGACTCCGGAGAGCCTGACTTTTGCGTCTGAGAGCCTCTCTGGTCTATGTTTCTTTGCTGTTGAATATTCATGTATGCAGAGGACTGGCTATTTGAAGGCGCTTTTGATACAGCATTGGCCGTCTGATTGGAATAGGTGGGCCAGGACATATAGAAGTCGTTGCTCGAAGAATAACTCGACGCTTTGTGAGTTTGCAGAGATTGAAGATTGGATGACGATTTGGGAAGGTTCAATTGCATGAGCTGCATCGCCAAGGTATCCATATCTGAGTTAGACATTGATGTTGATGCCGCGAGCGGTATACTTCCGTTTGAGGTATCATACAATGGATTGAAAAGAGAGTCTGAGCCTGAATAGTAATTGCCTTGCATCTTAGGCAAGTTGGACGAGGAGGTGCTGGTATTGGCTGTCAATTTCCCCGCAGACACGGTAGCTGCAGTGCTGGACCATAAATCTCTGCTGGCTGCCGTGGTATTATAATTATTTGTGGCAGAGGAAGGGTTAACGGCAGATGCCCAGGAATACCCTGAATACTTGCTAGACGAGTCCAGTCCGCTCAAGACTTGGGTGTTTGAGACCTGGGGCATTGAGATCCCAGCGGTATCGCCCAGACTCGGAATCCTCGACACAGACGACGTCTGCTGCTGCCACCTGATGTGGGGAGACTGTGAGGCCGTCTCCATTGGATTGCTCCTGTAGAGATCAAATTGAGTGTCTGAGTTCGAAGACCTGATTGACTTGGAAGCGTTAATATCGGGGGATAGTTCTAGTTTGTTTAGCTTGGAAGAGCTTTGGGAGCCTGAGAAGGACTCCGATCTCAGCACCCCCTCGCCCGACACGGAGGTGCCAAAGTTCGACTCTGTGGTGTCTGCGGAGTCAGGTTTATTTTGGGACTGTTGCAATATCGAAAAGCTGTTAGTTCTGTCGTGACGACCTCATCCTTGTTCAGCCCCTTTTTTATATATCGACGCTGGCAAAGAGATAATGTAGACTAGGGTTTAAAATCAACTTACGTAGTTTTCATAGCTCATGACGCTGTGCTCAGAAAGCGAACGTCCCGTGAATGTAGTATTTAGTGATCAAGACAGGGGAAGCTGAAACTAATTTAAATGTTTTTTTCAGCGACCCTTTTTTCCCACACTTGATTCAATTTTTAACATATCAAAAATACCAGGCAACCTTGCACCGGTGTTTCAAATAGTTGTGTCTGGTAGCACGAGAATATTGCATCCAAGTGCAAACCTCTATCAGGTTATCAATCACTTTTGCTTCTTTTTGTGCAAGAAGCTGAGATTCGACAAGGAGCCGTTCTTTTTAGACATGTTGAGATGGAAGCTTGATGCAGACCGGGACTTCACCAGTTCTGGGCGTTTCAAGGTGCCCACGGGTGTGTGGCTAGGCTCGTTCAGGGAGGACGGGTGGTCTGCCGAGGAGGATCCCGGCGCCCCATGTGTACTGAGATGAAGATGGACGCCTTTTGGCTGGCTTATCCCGGGCGACGTGGACAGGAGCGGAGACGTCTGACCGGAGCCCATAGAAGAGCTGTGTTGATGGGCACTTCTAGGAGTGGATATGTTGGCAGTGGAGTGGTTTCTAGAAAGGCTAGGGGACGGGGTTTTGGACGAGGCCCTGCTTTTTGCCAGCTCCGACGCCAGCAGCTTGTGGTCTTTGTGTCGGCCGAGATTCAGCAGAATCGACGATGAGGTCGTGCTTCTGGACAGCTTTGGATGGATCGGGAAGTGGTGGTGGTGCGAGTGGTTTCCCTGCGAAATGTTCACGTCGTTTAGGCGCGAGTCCAGCTGGTCCAGGTTGAAGTACGAGTTGTTTTCGGAAGGCTCATACGCGGGCGTGAGATCGCCCACTGTGACGTCGGACTTGATGGCAGTTTCGTAGGAAGGCACTCGCGATAGCAGCTCGCCGTCCCATTTGATTTCCTCTGGATGTTCTCCGTCTGCGCCCGGAGCAGACTCAATATACGAATTTGCTCTAGAAAGATGCTGGACCGGCGACAAAACGCCTGGTGTCACGCGCTGGTTGTTGATGGCAATGCCGGGAGTCTCGGGTGCCGGCTGGGCCGCGCCGCCAGAAAACGCTGGCCCGGCAATTGTGGTGTCTGTGTGTTGAGTTGGCGAGTTGTATGAGAAATAGTCGGTGCCTTCGTCAGTCAGGTTGAACACGGCTCTTCCGCGTGTCGCCGGCTGTTGCGACGAGTGCACTCTGTTGAGACTGGCAAGTAGCTGGTTGCTGAACCCGCCCTCTGTGGCCGTCATGTTGAACTCGCTGAGCTGGTTGGATTCGGGCGAGGGGTCCGAGCTGGCCTGCACAGGCTGACCGGTTGGATCGGCCTGGCCTCTTGGTGTGGACGGCTGGGAGAACTCTGGCGTGTCTGTCGGCGAGTTCACGCCGCTCCAGAGTCTGTCGTAAACGTGGTTTTCGTAGTTTGGCGGCGCCATCAGCTCCTGGGCGTTGAAGTTGTACGCGGGCGCGGGCGCCGACGCAGAGAGGAAGCTAGAGCCCGGCGTGGATGCCGTGGAACTCAGCATGCCGAGGCCCTCGCTGCCAAACATGAGTTCGTCGCCCTTGTAGCGGATCGTGGCGTCCTCGACGTTGGCAGAGGCCAGGTCGTCGTCGAGATCGGGCAGGTTCTTGGCCTTGATCGGGACGAACGGGCTGATGAAAAGCGTGATGGGCAGCGTGGCCCGGAGCTCGGACACGTGGCCATCCGTGTTGATCAGCGAGACAACAAACCGCAGCTTGTGGATCACTCTCACGTAGTGCGAGATCATGCAATCCTGAGTCACCTCGGCGAGCGACGACGGGATGTTCACGAAGGACCTGATCTCCCATTTATCCTGTGCCAGCGACATCTCCTCATTTCTGAAAAACACCCCGTTCTCGTCCATCTCAGCCTCTTTCCAAACATTTTTTCCGTTCTGGTCGGTAACTATTTTCGGGATCGTCTTATTTAGCACCGTGCGCTCGCCAACGTGGCTGGAGTAGGTGGTGGAGAAACTGAAATTCTCATTGAGGCTGATCTTGATAGAGCCCAGTTGCAAACCCTTCGCCAGCGGCACCATAGTCATGTCAATGGGACAGGTGGACCCGATCGCTATGGCGCGCGCAGGAACGCTAATCGAGTAGTCGACCTTCTGCGGCCACGTGTTTTCCACAGCGACGGTCTCGGTGAGCTCGGGGGCATCTGTGGTGAGTGTTCTCACGACGTGGATGTGTTTCCTCGTGATGATCGGAGCACTGAACCGGTGTCTTTCGATCGTCGACTGCAATCTGTACACGACAGAGCAGCCGGGCAGGCCCTCGACGGATTCCGGAATCGAGCCGTCCAGAATCGTCTGGAACGGGAACTCGTAGTTGCCCTGTTGCAGCACCACGGGCTCGTTCTTGTTGCTCGACGTGAAAGACAGAGAACTGAGGTTTGTGAGCGATTTGTTCTTGTTCAGGTTGGACGACGACTTGGACGTGTGCGCCATCATTTTCAGGGAACTCGAGGACGAATTAGTGGACCGTGTCAGCGTGCCTGTGGCAAACCCGGACCCGGAACTGACCATGTTGCCGTCAGAGGCAAAGCCAGTGAAAGAGGAGCTGAGCGGCCGGTTGTTGTTGCTCAGAAACTCCTGTAAATTCAGCGGATCCCAGTCAAACTCATAAAGAACCTTCTGGTACCTGTACGGCCGCGTGTATGTGGACTTGGCCGACTGATATTTCTCCTCCCAATTGAACTTGAGACTGGCCCAGAGCTTGAGCTGCATTCTTTTGATGGTGATTGGCTCCACTACAGAGAGAGCAATCACGCCCGAAAGCAGAACAGACGGCGCGTCGTCCTCCGAGCCCTTCAGCACAACCACGTCTCTGTCTGTCGATCGCAGCCGGATATCAAACAGTGGAGTTGGTTTGGGCCCCTTCTTTTGATGTTTTCCCATGACTGAGGTCAGATAATGTATGCAAGCAATGGCAGAAAAATGTGCGGTATTCTGCGTGTGTAGCGAGATTTTCTAGGACGTTTGGACTATGACTGATGGGATTTGGGCATCCACTCGAAGGAGGTTTGGAATAAACGATTTGTACAATATATGGGTGCGGAAAAACTTTTATGCATTCACCTGTGACAGCAATGAGCAGGCTGACAGCAGGGGACCAGAAAATTGCCAGCCGCCTTGGTCGAGGATCCGGGGTCTGGCTGGTTACTGGCCGCATTTGGAGGCCCCGCTGAGCCTGTCTTCGCCAGCCGTGCTCCGCCAGCCGTGCTTCCACAGCCGCTGCACCTTCCAAGGGCAACGCCTCTGGCTCTTCCTGTTTTGCTTACGTAATCCCAGTCTACCCGGCAGTTAGTTGTGTGCACTAAATTAAATTTTTCAAATTTTCACTACAATTTCTAGATCTCCCGACATGCAAGCAGGCGATTTGGATTCCCAGCTGCAGCAGCTGAGATTATCGTCACTGAAATCCCGCCGTGCGGCGGTCAGGCAGATATACGTGGTTCTGGACAACCGTCTAGACGAGGCCCAATTGAGCAGGACGTTTATTTCTTTGCTGAGACTATACAATAACTTTCCCAACGACAAGCTCTTTGCGAAGCAGGTACGGGACGTTTTTGCCAGACTGCTCGAGCAGGATCGGGCGCTGATTTTTGGTCTTTTTGAAAAATTCATAGGACAGTTATCTAGCAAGCCTCTGGCTGTAGCTGACCTGGTGGTATTGCTGGACTGGTGTGTCTTTTTCTCTGCCCAGAAACCAGCCAGCTCTGTTTTAACCGAGTGTCTGCTCCCCCAAGCGATCAAGCTCGTCGACAGCATAGCCACTGCGGAACACCACAAGAAACAGCGGTCTGGCAGGCTTGTTAGGGAAGCACTCAAGGCTCTGGCCGAGATCGTGCGATCTCTAGATCGCTCGCAAGTAACAGACTTTGTTGCCAATATAGGCAAGAAGGGGCTTTCTGCAAACGGCATCCTAGCATTTGTTGGCCAATTGGCAGCCACAGACTCACATCTCGATGATTCCACTAAAAATCAAATCATTATACACTTTTGCAAAGATATCCTTGTCTCCAAGGTTTCGCTTGATGGATACGCTCTAGACACGTTTGGCAGGTTTGTTAGCTTGCTGACGCAGTCTGAGATCGAGGAACACCTGCTTCCTGGCCTGGAAAAGGCTGCTCTGCGGAACTCTGAGCAGACATTTTATATTGTTTGTCCGCGAGTTTTTGGCGCTGCCACCGTCGACTTGGCAGAAAGCGTAGCCAAGAGCAAGTTTCTGACGCAACTGGTGTCTTCGCTCAAGTCTTCTAATGCGCTCGTGAGACAGGGCGGATGCGAGTGTTTCAAGATAATATTTGCAAAAAGCAAGTCGGTAGGGGTGGACCAGTTGCTTGACGAGGTGTGCAAGCTGCTAAAGAGCTTGACCACCAGCGCAGTGGACCAGAAAATGCTGTGTGCTTCTATTTTACGGACGGTTCCGCAAACGGAAAATACCAGTGCCAAAATAGAGGGTGTGCTGCTCCCGTTGATTAAAAAAGAGTCGAATGAACAGGTTCTCAAACTGTTTTTGGACGCACTGTTTGCATGTACCGTCTCGGATAAAGTCCTGGACGCTCTTAAAATGGGACTCGTGGACAAAAAGCAGAGAAAAGCATGGACTGTTGCTCTGGGAAACCAGGTGCAAAAAAACCGGGCCTTGGTGACTGACGCAGTCGTTCCGTCGCTGGAGTCTTTGCTCGAGGAGTGTATTTCTGCGCCATTGCCGAGCATTGCCAACAAACTCATTGACGGCGGCTATGCTGCGGTGGTAGTCCTTCACCATCTAGGAAGATCTGAGTTATTGCCCAGGACGCTCCACGATACCGAAAAACCGGCTATCGTCACCAACTTCAAAGTCTACGGTAAATTGGCGACTGAGGATGAGCAAGAATGGTTTGTGCGAGCTCTGGATGCGCTGGCCGACCAGCTTTCTGGGCCGCGGCTCGAATTTGGTTACACGTGGCTGTACGTTCTGACCTCTACAGTTATAGTTGGCGCTGTCAGACGGCTGGGGCTGGAGCTGCTGTCAAACAGCTGTCGTACCAACCAAGAGTTTGTTGCCGGCTCTGTCATTGCGGCGATCTGCGACCTGCTTTCCAAAGACCGGTCTGGCCTGGCTGACCAAAACCTCGATCTTCGAAAATTATCTCCAGTCATCATGAAAATCACCAGCGGGGGCAACAGAAAAATCCTGGAAACGCACCTATTAGCGCTGCTGCCCGTGATGTACCACAGCGAGCTGGCAAACGTGAGATTGGGCTGGCCGGGAGTGTGTTTGCGTGCAAAAATCGACCCTGCTACCTTAATATCTCAAAGCATTGGCATTGTGAGCACGCTAATGGAGCAACTTGACAACGCCTCTCCCG